CAGTCTCCGATGGCGTCGGTGCGGCTGGAGGGAGGGGGCCTCTCCTCTCCCCTGGCCTGTCCTGGGCCAGTGGCTGGGGTGCTGCCGGGCTGCTCTGATCGTCCGTGCAGACAGAGCTCTCCGACAGGTAATGAGAGAAGAGATTTCTGGCTCACAGGCAATCAGTCAGTTAATTATCACCAACTTTCACAGTTGACACGAGGCTCACTGAAGGAGAGCAAAGGGAGATTGGCAGGTGGTGTGTGGAGGGCTGAGTGAACGGGGAATACTAAGTAGTTTCTATTGTACCGTTGCTTACCAAACCTGAATCACATCTTTTGTCCAAAGATACAGTTAATGCATTTAAGAGATTTTTTTTCCCAGTTGATATCCTGGCATTCCCTGTTTTACCCTATGTTCCACCTCCCTGACTGAGCTGTTCTCTGGTAGGCTGTAGTGGGCATGCATTTCATTTTAGATCTCAGGTGTATGATTGGTTATTTCTGAAAAGTAAAATGATTAACTTAGAAATACAGCAAGTCTTCCTGTGAGAGGAATGAATTCCACCAGACGTTTAGCTTTTGAGAGAGTCTTGGGCTCAGGCAATGAGGCCCTGGCGCTGACCAGGCTGGACTGGGCTCGGTCTCTCAGTTGTAAGCCGTGACAAATGGCATTGGAGACCTTGCATCATCTTGCCTGCTGGCAAAAGCTGCGCCAATAACTAAAAGTTGAATAAATTGTTCCCAGCGGACGGTGGTTCTTTATAACATCTTGATGCTTGTGTCAGAACTGCTGCCTCCTGGCTTTCGTTGTTGGATCTCCAGTAATTCAACCTTTCAACCTGTCCCTTCCCAGCGTGGCGTCTGCAGTCAGGTCCTCGCCCAGTCTAAATCAGTACGTGGTAATGATTCTCGAAGGGCTGCTTAGATTTGCTGAAGTTCTGCCTTTTTTTTGAATCTCCAGCATGTTTTGGTAGTCTTTATATTGCTGGGAAAATGAGAAGCTGATTTCATTTGTTGTTTTTTTTCCATTGCAGGTAAACTGTGCATCGAGCGCAGGCTGTCAGCTCTGCTGTCGGGGTTCTGCGCCTGATTTCACTGTTCTTGTTCCTCACGCACTTCGCCCCAGCTGATCACTTTGTTTCCGAGGGCCTGCTGCTGTGGTGAGAAACGATTTTGGCAGTGGGAGACCTGGAGGATGAACTGCTCAACGTTTCGTATTTTGACGTTTTGGGAAGTTGTTCCACAGACTCGGATTCCTTCGTGGGAATGTGCGACTGCAGCAAGCACAAATACTTCCCTGCCCAAAGGCCTGGGTGAAGACGTAGCTGATGTGGAAGGGTTTCCCTTGTTGGCAGAGGGGACGAAGGATGGAAGTCTGCTTCTTCCCAGCACTTTGAAGGATAAGACTGCTGCCTATCCCTCTTGCTTAAGAACAGGGTATTCCAGTGCTGTGTCCATTGCAGGCGATGGATGTACTGAAACTGCTGGCTTCAGTTCATGTTGGAGGGTGTGGTTCAGAAGTCAAGGCCAGTTTGTGTACTTTCCCCCGCCCAGCTGATAGCCAGGCATCTTCGAGCCTCCCGGCATCCCGAGGCTCCCCTGCTTTCTCTCCTTCGTCGCCTTCTCACGCGCGTTTATGCCTTGGAGTGCTCTCGGAGGGGCGGAGGAGGGAGTCAGCTCGCTTTTGCCTGAGTGATGCTGAAGTCACAGACTTGCCGAGCGAGGCAGAGGACATGCCGCTGCTGGGGACGTTGGCAACTCCGGTGGCTGCTGTGTGGGCTGCCTCTGCCCGGCGGGGCGAGCGGCATGGGGAGGGACTCTGCGGGAAGCGGGAGGACGCCAGAAAGTGCAACGCTCCTGCGTTTGACAGATGCCAAAATGGATCCGTTCCTCCCTTGGTCCCCACACTCGGTGGGATCAACATGGAAGACTCCTGGCTGTCCAGCTCGGGCTGTCGTTCCGCATCAACCGGGAGGCAGCACGGGCGCTGTCCTGCTGTCAGCTTGTGGCTCGAGCACCCCTCTCCTGGAGCCCTCACCCCACCCCGGACTGAAAACACTAGCTTTGTGAATCAAAGGAGCACTTTACACACTATGGGAACTTTGAGAAGTTGACTTTGCATCACACAACAACCCAGGAACATCGCGACTGTTAGGAATGCTGTTCCTTTTATTCCTTTCCTTGCTTCCTGGTTGTTTTATTGCACTACGTGTGTGCGTATATTAATATGTATTCCTAAGGGCGAATATATATTGATATATATATATGGTTTGTGTGTAACTGTACGTATTTAACTGTACTGTATCTTGGGAGGGCGAGGCAAGAAGCACTGCAGTGTCTTTGCTGTTCCTCCTCCACACCAGGCAAAGCTGACTTGCAGTCTGGCAGTACCACGATTTGTTTTGTTTTGTTTTATTTAAATGTTCTTTTAAGGACAGTCAGTATAAAGCTCCGTGCTTTTTAAGAGCTCGAGAACAGGTGTTAAGATCCTACACACTTGGAATTGGAAATGCATTTTTTAAGAAGTTTTATTTGCTGCTTCATTTTTTTATAAAGAATTCTTGTAGTGTTCACTTTTATGTTCAGCATTTCTTTTAAGGAGACTGTAGCCAAATGAGACTGCGGGTGCGAGTGGCTCGAGTTCTGGTTGAGGCTTCGGATGCTGTGAGCATGTGCGTGAGAGGATAGCTGGCTGCCTTTCCGTCTGTCTGCGTGCGCGTGTGTGTCTTAATTTATCAGAGTCGTGGCAGTATTTTGGTAGCGCTGGGCAGAGAAGTATCTTTGAAAGCAACTCGAAACCTCAGGCTTTGTTTTTGGGGATCTGAAAATATTTTGCACGTGGTGGTTAAGTCCTCATTGCTTTTTTTTTCTCTCAATATTGGCACGTTCAGTGTGATACTTTACAAGGGTTTCAGGAGCAACTTAATTGACTTTGGAGCTGGCATCATCTTTGGCGACATGGGCGTTTCTGATCACAGAGCAGAAATGCCAATAAAGAGATGTAAAAATATTTCTGATTACCCCCACCAGGGAAGTTGAAGTGTAGCTTTCATAAATGCTTCAGTATTGGGCTGCTGCTGCATCGTACGTTCACAGCCTGCTGCTTCTGTGGCCGTTTATGCTTGTGCCTGAGGAAAAAAGGAAAAGAAAGAACAAAAAAGAGGCAAAAACAACCGACCAGCCGCCCCCCAGCCTGCGGACAGAAATGCCGCGGAGACCCAGACTGCTTCCGAAAGGCTTCTCCCAGTTCTGCGAAGGGCTGTGCTGCAGGCCAGAGCGGCGTGCCGGGAGGCAGCACGCCAGCACTAAGCCAGCAGTGACCCTGCCGTGCGCACCCCCACCCGGCCGGCCCCCCCAGGGGAAGGCAGCCCGGGGTCCACAGCTCTGCCGCGGGTGGGATCGGCCGTGTGTGTGGCAAGCTCAGCACTAACCTTCCGGCTGTACTTCATTACTTGAATGTATCAAAATTGCCCACGCTCAATGTATACAAGTATATATCGCTCCAAAAAATTGTGGTTTACAGACCTACAACCAATATATATATATATGTACGTGTTTGTGTATATACATACAAAGATGTGTGTGTGTGTGTGTATGTACAGATACACATGCAAACACAAACGTGTATATATATGTTTTCTCTCAATACTTGAAACTTAGCCACTGTGCTTGAATTAAAAAAAAAAACAAAACACAAAAAAAACCCAAAAATGGGACAAAAAAAAAGGAAAAAAGAAAAAACAAATCAGACAGGTGATTTATTTTGCCATCACTTCAGTGACTTTCTTTTTTATCTAACTGCATGTAGCGTGAAACCAACTTTTTTGGTGAAAGATATTTATTGCTTTGTAGACAATAAGGTATGCAAAAAAAAAAAAAAACCAAACCCCCAAAACCAACCCCCAACCATTGTTGAAGTTGCTAGTGTAGTCCACCTGCTATTGTCATGGCTTTGTTACTGTTGCAGCGTTTGTGTCTAACGTCTTTAATAGATTTCAAGAAACCTCAGTCTAATAAAGATGTACCTTCAGGTTTGTGAGAGCGTATGATGATGTTCTGTATAAGGTAATGCTTGATACTTTGTCAACATTTTTTTTATTTGTGTTTTGTGTGACTTTTTTTTGGCTTTAAATTGTACAACACCAATTTAAGAAAATAAAATTGATTTGAAATTGTTAGCGGGCAGTTTTCAGTACTTTATAATTCCAGTTAGTGCAGTATCTGAGGGCGGGATTTAATGTGTTTGGTTCTACCAGCCGTAACTTTCAGGTGGAAGAGTGCCGTTACCCCCTTCTCGCAGAGAGCAAAGCTTGGGATGGAAAAGCTGCGTTGCTGAAGCCACACATGGAGCCGCTGGCTTTGGGACAGTTGAAGCCAGCTTCTGGGCGGGAGCTGTAACGACCGCTTCCCCTGTCCTTACCGGGCTGTGCTCTCCGCTGCTGCGGGTCGAAGCTGTCTCACGAGTTGGTCGCAGGGCCCTGCCCCTCCGGGTAGGTGCTGGAATTCCGCCCAAGTCGCAGGGTTTGCAGGATCAGCCGCTCGGAGCTGTCGATTGCTTGGCACTGCAGCACGAAGCCCGCTGGAGCAGGGGTGTCTGATGGCCACGCGGAAGGGGCAGGGCTGGCGGTAGGTTCGTGGCGGTGTTTGTAGGAGACCTAATAGTTACGCACTATTTTAAACTCTAGCTTGTTGCTGTGCAAGAGAGGTACTTGAAGTGTGAGTATAGTGATAACATTTAGGTAGTTTTAATTAAGATTAAATACTTTCCTGCTGTGTTTATACTCATTGCAGTTTGTTATTTGAACGGAATGCCACATGGTGTAGTTTTCTGTTGCCCACGTAGCTATGCAAAAAGTCACTGAACATGGCAAAAAGTACAACAAGGATACTGTGAGCATTGGTTGTGACTTTGGGTGCAAGACAGGTAGTTGTAATCCCTGCTCTGTCTGAATCAGAATATTCTATGATGAAAAGCTGAGCTCTACATCTGGGGCGTGAGAGAGGTCCTGAATTAATTTGTCCAGTCCTTCCACTCTTGCAGAAACTTAAGCAACAGAGGTGTTGACTTTCAGGAGCCAGATTCCATAATTCCACCAAACGTTTCCCAAAGTGCTGCTTGCTGGATGGTGCACGTTATTGTTGGCCATGAGCATCCCTGGGGAGAGTCCTGCCCACCAGCCCCTGCGTGACTCAGCATCACCCCGTGCAGTTACTGGACTGTATTGTGTTTTTGTAAGAAAAGACCCTGTTTCAAAATCTTAAATTTACCATGAGCTGGAATTGTTTTTTCTTCCCCAGCCCTATTTATAACTCCTGTTTCCTGCCCCTGCCTTTCCCACCGCAGGGAACTGGACGCTGCTTGTTCGCTCCGTGAGAACGGTCCTGCCTGGAAGCGCCGGGCTCCGGGCTGTCGTCATTTGCGCAGACTCGTGTGTGGGGACAGTCGATTCCGTGTCCCTGCAGAGTCACGCCACGCTGCGGCTGCAGCAGTGCTGGGGCAGCTCTGGGAAGCTGCTCTTTGGTGTGGTGGAAGCATCGTGGTGGTCCAACCCGGCCCAGATCCTGTGGCAGCCCTTGGAAAGCTGGTCAGAGCTCAATAAATATAACTGCTGGGGTTGCTTAGAGGCTGGCAGCTCAGCACACTTGGGTCTTTGCTTTTTGGGGTTTTAGTGGGGGTTTTGCAGGTTGTTTTGTTTGTCTTTTTTCATGTATAAAGCCCCCTTTTGTGGAAAAGCTTTGTGTGTGTGTTCCCTGCAGGATGGGATTGAGGTAAAGAACACATACATCCAAGTTTCTGATGCTGAGGGTAAGGGAGGAAGTTTCTTCTGAAGCTGCGTGTGAAGAAGTTTAAAGGTTCGGGTGGAAAACCTGTGGCCAAATGAGAGACAGAGAACTGTGTGTCACATGCCTGTGCAGATAGAGAATACTCTGCTGAATCCATGGGAAGCTTTCACAGGGGGCAGAGCAGAGGGGGAAAGTGCTAGCTGGGAAGGTATAAACAACAGAAATAAATAGTCCCTTCGAAAGGCACTAAACAGTGGGGCCTGAACAGTTCATAAGCACCAGTGGAAATTGCACAACTTTCTAGATGTTGACTATGACGTTACACTGCTGTTGGAGAAAACAAACCCAAGCAATTCTTCCAGGGCATTTGGCTTCATTCCCGCATTTTATATTTAGTTGTTGGTAAGTACGTCAGCAAAAACATGCTCATTCAACTCTGAAAGATCAGAGCTGGCGTAGTGACATCAAGGAAGCAGAAGTGGGTGGGTGTGTGTTGAATCAAGGCAATACAAAGATCAAGCGTTCAGCTTCTGGTTACCAGCTCTCTTAAAGCTTTGACGGGGAGTTAACTCCTTCACAGCCTGTCACAACACAGGGTAACTCCTTCACAGCATAGTGTAGCTCTGTGGTGTTCAGCTTG